TTGCTTACGTCGAGGTAAGTAATAATCATTATTATTATTAATATTATCATCATCATCGTTAAGGAAGATAAATAAAAAAAATACAAAAATGAGAGTTTAATATAAATTTTATTAATAATATACATAACATTTTTATTTATAGGTGAATCGTTGTTGATGGCGATGAAAGACGTTGCTTTGTCCAGCGGTTCAGCATGCACGTCAGCATCATTGGAACCATCGTACGTATTAAGAGCCATCGGAGCCGATGAAGATTTAGCACATTCATCAATACGATTCGGTTTGGGAAGGTTCACGACCATAGAAGAAGTTGATTACACGGCTGAAAAATGCATCAAACACGTTCAAAGGCTTAGAGAAATGAGGTTTGATAGAATACATATAGTGAAGATTGAGAGAAGAGAGTGTGAGTGAGTGAGAGAAAAGATTGAATGAGAGAAGAGTGTGAGTGAGTAAGAGAAGAGATTGAATGAAAGAAGAGTGTGTGAGTGAGTGAGAGAAGAGAGAATGAGAGAGGAGCGCGAGAGAGTACGCAAGGGGGGCACGCGAGAGCGCGAGCTAAGACACGAGGGGGGGGCACGCGAGAGGGGGGGGCACGCGAGAGCGCGAGTTAGGACGCGAAAGGGTACGCGAGAGAGTACGCGAGAGCGCGAGTTAGGACGCGAAAGGGTACGCGAGAGAGTACGCGAGAGCGTGAGTTAGGACGCGAGAGAGTACGCGAGAGCGCGAGTTAGGACGCGAGGGGGTACGCGAGAGGGTACCCGAGAGCGCGAGGGGGGGGCACGCGAGAGCGCGAGTTAGGACGCGAAAGGGTACGCGAGAGAGTACGCGAGGGGGTACGCGAGAGCGTACCCGAGAGCGCGAGGGGGGGGCACGCGAGAGCGCGAGTTAGGACGCGAAAGGGTACGCGAGAGAGTACGCGAGGGGGTACGCGAGAGGGTACCCGAGAGCGCGAGTTAGGACGCGAGGGGGGCACGCGAGAGCGTACCCGAGAGCGCGAGTTAGGACGCGAGGGAGGACGCGAGAGCGCGAGTGGGTATGCGAGTTCGCGAGAGGGCACGCGAGAGCGCGAGTGGATACGCGAGAGAGTACGCGAGGGGGGGCACGCGAGTTCGCGAGAGGGTACCCGAGAGCGCGAGAGAGTACGCGAGGGGTACC